TGCAAAGAGCAGTACTGATGTTCAGAGTACAGTGACTTGTGGCGGCCCATCAACTTTCTGACATCAGCGCAGCTGAAGATGCATTTTGATTGGCTGTTATGAGTTACTACACTTTGCTCTTTGCCTTATCAAAAAAGAAGCCGGTGAATGGGTCACTAGCATTGTACAGGGCTGTGTGCCAGGCACTGTGTAGGCATTGTAGGTAATCCAACAATGTTAGATAGTCAACAGGCACTAGAAAACTTACTCACTAAAGTGCAAAGTCCAGGAACCAATAGAAACCAGCAGGGAATTTTTTGCAGAAGTTACTTCTGATTCCAGTATAATTTTCCCCATGGGTTTGGCTGGCCAACGGAGCCCGTATATTCAGATATTCAGTATGACTTATCATTTGCAGGCACATAAAGAGTCGTTATGAATTTACTTAGCATGCAGAATGTATCTACCATCCTATACATGCGACGTATAAAACACTGAATGGGTGTTCGGCACAGTATAGTGCCAAGTGCAGACTACAGTATGTACTAAGTAAGCGCAGCAGCCAATAAGATTGACCGATTTCCTTTTTTTACTTCAGCACACATTCAGTGGACTCTGCACGTCCCTATTAAAAGAGTAGCCAACAGCATGGCTGACCTCTTTCCTGCAAACACCTAGCTCATCCCAACCCAACACTTCCTGCGGGCTCTTTAAGTAAGACCCATATCTTCCTACATCCCCCATGTGGAGTGGTATGACACTGAGAGCCTGGCAGTAAATGGGTATGTGGTGGTGAGCAGGTCATTGGCAGGATGAACAGTTCTATTCCAGGGAATTGCAGTTGAGTGGTATGAATTACTGTAGCCTGGCAGTGAATGGGTCTGTGGTTGTGAGCAGGTCATTGGCAGGACGGGCAGTTCTATTCCGGGGATTATCAGTCCAGTGGTATGAATTACTGTAGCCTGGCAGTGAGCGGGTGTGTGGCAGAAGACAGGTCTCTGGTAATAAACATAATTAACTGGATATGTTCAGTGATAGTGAACAAAGAGCAGGGCCAACCCAAAAAAAACGCTTAGAGGTCCGCCCATTCGAAGCTTCTGAAAGAGCCCAGTTCTTGCTGGTGGCCTAGACCTTCTACCAAGACTAGGGTTGCCACCATGTCTGGGGAAAAATGGCAGCTTTAGGACCTGTGTGTACTGACTTTCGACCACAGGGTTTGCATTGCCATACAAATCTATGTGAATGCAAAGCACACTTGAAGCACATAAACTGCAGGTCCGAAGGAGGTCAGCTGATGGTCAAATGGAGCCGTCAATGAATTCTGAACAATCTCAGATGGATCTCAAACCGATGCCATTGACACATGCCCAATGGCAGATCTGGATGAAATTTGGTGATGACACCATTATGCTACTCGCTGTTCTCCTTGCTGGAGAGGAAGCCGTACCTGAGACATCACAGGCCTTTATGGTAATTTTCCTATTAATAACATTGGCAACAAGCCCCATTCTTACCTAGCAGGCCTGTAAAGTAATAGCCAGGTGGCTCAACTAAACATGGTCCACTTTATAATTTACAAAACCGTCCATAACTGAACTCCCAATCGATTCGTGTAAAGTGAAGGCCGGGAGTGGAACATTCTGTACTATTTGAAGTTCATCGTGGTAGCTACTGAATGTAATATATTTTACAATCATTGCCAGGCACACGTTGCATCTGAGATGGTGTGTATAACCTCAGCAAGCACACAACTATCAGTGAGTCATCACTATAATGTCCAAATCTGACTTTTTTTTACTAAAAAAGAGTTTTGCTCTACCTCATCCAATCAGAGAACACCCTATATTCATTGAGAAAAGTACAAAACATTCTCTAAATGCCGGTGGTACCCAGAGAGAGCCTCCCTGTGCTCAGTGTGCCGAGGGGAAGTCACCAGAGCTGCCACCGGAGGAGACCAGCGCTGACTGTATTTTTAGCATCCCCGGTGGCCCTCCAGAGATCAGATATGGATACATACATCAAACCAAGCTGGACCAATGTAAGTATCCAAGATCATTCCTAAAGTGCGGCTTTAAGTCAATTCTAATGAGTTGCTATGGATTACCACATTTAGCAGTGAGCATTTTCTTCTGGGCGTTGTTTTATGAATGAGCCCGTATCTCTGGCAGAGAACTGGTTCCAGTTATTAAACAATGCTGGGAGTCTGGCAGTGATGGAGTTTGTTGCAGACTTACGGCACTGAATGGGTGCCAGCTACTGCATATTGACTAATTACTGAAATAGAATGTGTCAGGGAACAAGTCTCTACCAGTGCAGGGCTCCTCGTTTCTGGTACTGACTGGGTATTTCTTATTGTCTCTGTCAGCTTGGCACTGGATGGGTTTGTTGTGGTTCAGGGCAGATAGTCTCTGGCACTAAATGAGTATCTGTTATTGCATATTGCTAAGAGCCAGGCACTGAATGAGTTTGTGGTGGTGCAGAGTACATAGTCCCTCTTGGACATTTCCAGGAGCTGGGTACTGAATGAGTTTGTGGTGGTGCAGAGTACATAGTCCCTCTTGGACATTTCCAGGAGCTGGGTACTGAATGAGTTTGTGGTGGTGCAGAGTACATAGTCCCTCTTGGACATTTCCAGGAGCTGGGCACTGAATGGGTTTGTGGTGGTGCAGGGGTACATAGTCCCTCTTGGACATTTCCAGGAGCTGGGTACTGAATGAGTTTGCGGTATTGCAGGGTACATAGTCCCTATTGGACATTTCCAAGAGCCGTGTACTGAATGAGTTTGTGGTATTGCAGGGTACATAGTCCCTTTTGGCCATGTCCAGGAGCCAAGCACTGAATGGGTTTGTGGTATTGCAGAGTCCTTCTTCCCTTTTGTACATTTCCATGAGCCTGGCACTGAATGGTTGTATGGTGGTTGAGGGTTTATAGTGTCTTCTGCACATTTCTAAGAGCCTGGCACTGAGTGGGTCTAGGGTGCATAGTCTCTTCTGCACATTTCTAAGAGCCTGGCACTGAGTGGGTCTAGGGTGCATAGTCTCTTCTGCACATTTCTAAGAGCCTGGCACTGAGTGGGTCTAGGGTGCATAGTCTCTTCTGCACATTTCTAAGAGCCTGGCACTGAGAGGGTCTATGGTACATAGTCTCTTCTGCACATTTCTAAGAGCCTGGCACTGAATGGGTCTATGGTGGTTGAGGGTACATAGTCTCTTACACATTTCTGAGAACCAGGCACTGAGTGGGTTTGTGGTATAGCAGGGCATTTAGTCTCTGACACATGAACATATAATTGTTATTGCATGTTTTCAAAAGCCTGGCGCTGAATGGGTTTGTGGCAAGGAACAGGTCTCCGGCGGCACAGGGCACTTGGTCCCTGGCAGAGCGCCCTCAGGTCTGTTTACGAAATCCTGACCTAGTTTCCATGCCTTGCGCTAGCTGGTCACATGGCAGGGAGATTAGGCACGTGGACTGTACAAGGAGGGAGGGTGGAGGAAGCAGGGTGTGTACACACATACTAACACACTGACACACATATGTGGACAGGACAAGGGTAGACTTCCAGCTTTATGTCTGTGGGGCAGATTATAAAATAAAAATAAAAGCCCCGTTGTGCCAGTAACCCTTCCCCTGCCGGTTTATAAGCACAAACCTAAAAAAATCCAACGGCCCAGCGGAACTCACAAATCCCACTGACAGCTCCTGAAAAGACAAGCTGAATTCATAGCACATCTTAAAGGGGTTTCCCAACTGAAACCTTTGGCTGGTGTCAGAGGGATTGGCCCATTCTATTGGCTGCGTGCTCCCCTGTTTTTTTATACATGCAAATAGTTTTTTTATTTATTAAGCCCAAATTGACCGTTCCCACGGCTATCGGAATACCTAACCAGTGACTGCATCTGTGCGGAGGACAATTTTCCACCTGAAGCTTGTCGAGGTGCAGGCAGGGCCACCACGGCCGATTCAGCAGGAACCAGCCAAAATTCAAGCTGTGTATGGCTACCTAAGTGGGAAAAAAAAACACCTCCCCTGCCGGCATGCTGCAGAGAAGGGCCCTTGCACTCTGCATTAGGGTTGCCACCTGTCCAGGATTCACCCGGACAGTCTGGGTTTTGAATGCTGTGTCTGAGTTTCATGACAGCAGAAACCCGGACACAAGAGGTCAGGCAGACAGGGGCAACCAAAATTAAGATAGGGGCTACTGGCCTGGCACTGAAAAAAGTCTCAACTGTGATATTTACATATGAATGGGCCGCGATTCATTCTCCCCCAAAAATGTCAGCGTGTCGCTAGAGTGTTCAGGTTTCGCTTTAATGGAAAGGTGGCAACCCTACTCTGCATGGAAGTAGTGGTCTCTCTGCAGAGATCCGAAACTCCTCGCTGAGTGAGGCTCATATCTCTGCAATCGGAAAACCTGATGCTCCCTGCTAATTGGGGAGCGCTAGCTCTGACCCAGCAGGGGCATGTCAGACATCAGCAGAGTGACCTCTGTTTCATTAGTTCTGTAGGTCAGCATCCCATCCCTGCACAAGAATCTCTTTTGTTGCTTGGTTTTATAACTTCAGGTATTTCCAGTCGCGAGATGAATAAAGATCCTGCACATGGACTCGGGAGATACCTGTCTGGCTAAATGTATGTTTGTGTATATATAGCTCTGTGTGTAATAAGACAACAGATTACAAAACAGGAGTCATTAAGGTAATTGACGTTCAAAGTAAACCAGGTCAAACGTGAGGCTGGTTAATGCCAAACTTGCAGGGTCATATTATGTAAGGATGTTGGGGGCGGGGTTCCAAAATACCACTTTCCCAATGTCTTATTTTTTTTTCTTCTCTTGCCTCTCTAGGCGTGTCCCGGAGACCAAAACCTGACGGAGAGTGAAGCAGAGAACTATTACCTGACAAAGGAGAAAGAGAGGAACTTCTCCTTGTTCACTCAACACAAATCCAAGAACAGCAGAGATCTGACTCATTAATCCGGCAGGACGTGGGAGTTTGTATCACGGCGTGTTGATCTACTTGAGAAAGAAAGAGTTCAAGATTAAGATGCTTAGACTGTATGGTGAGCCCAAACAAGAAGAAAGCAGTCCCAGTCTTCAAGCCAAGGGACGGTGCTTCACCTGAATCCTTCTCACCAGAGACGCCATCACTCTTCTATATCTACCTACTGTAAAGAACTGGACTTGTAGAAATCTTGAGGAACATTCAGTGAGCATGGAATCACCACTGTCCAACTACTCGCAGAGCATGGACGAGCAGCATTCCCAGGAAAGAGCTGCAGGTGGATCCGGGGCTGGACGCCGCAAGCGGGAGTTCATCTCCGACGAGAGGAAGGATGCCAGCTACTGGGAGAAGAGGCGGAAAAACAACGAGGCAGCCAAGAGGTCTCGAGAAAAGAGACGCTTCCATGACCTGGTGCTGGAAGGGAGGGTGGCGGCACTGGATGAGGAAAATGGCCGCTTGAGGAATGAGTTGTTTCAGCTGAAGCTGCGATACGGGTTAATTTCGGCTGCTTCGTTTATCGAGGCCAGCCAAGGACTTGGCAACCGCAAGGCGGCAGACGGGGGACCTTTGCTGTGCAATTCCAGGAATACAACTTACATGTCCCCCTACTTAGCCATAAACTCGGACTCCTCAGAGGCGGACAGTGGAGGGGGTGCAGCCATGGATAGTTACTCCCCCCGCAGTTCGCTCTCAGACCTCTCCGATCAGTCTTCCCGGGATAGCCCGGTGCCAGCTGGCTACGGAGAGGGGAGGACCACAGAAAATGACTTTGCCAATATGTGCCCGGTGGAAAACAACCCATCCACGAGAGGAGCAGTGCCACGTGGGGGAGTGATACTGTACAGAGTCGGCGGGCTTACTGTGGACCCCCAGCACAGGCACATTGTGGGTACAGATATGGAATCACTGCAACACCAGGCCTCCGAGTACAGCGCCCCACTTCCACGCTCCTCCATTTTTGTACATTCGGACAGTTTCCAAAATACTTACCAGGACATGGAGAAGGCCCCCGGCATTAAAGCTTCCACAGAACTTTTGTCCCCCAAATCCCCCCAGTCAGAGTACCAGAGCGAGGACAGTGGTAGTGACGAGGGGGGATCCAACTGCTGCCCCTTGGAGTGGCCGACCTATCAGGAGCCAGTGGCTGGCGTCAAACTGCCACACAAACTGAGGTTGAAGTGCCGAACGCATGGACACGAGGGGTGGGGGGCAGATAAAGGTCAGGGAATCGAGGTGCAGAATTAATTATCGGCCGGATCCAGATAATGAAAGCCAAACATAATGAAAGCCTGGCAACCGTTCCCATCCATCACAATCCGCAGGTGCCAATGTGTGACTCTCGCTTTAAAGACTGATCCTTCTTCTACTGTTACACTTTTGTGGGGGCGCATAGTGCTATAGCAAGGGGGGGGGCGGCACTATTTCTGTATATATGTTATGTGTAAAGTTAAATAAACTTGTATAAAATTATATATGAAGTTTACAGCTTGTGTGTGTTTAGAGCCTAAGATGTCATATACAACACTATGGTTCATTATATGAATGGGGTGAGCTGTAGGGGAGATGTGGGAGGAGTAATGGGAGGGGTTAAGAGACGGGTAGGAGGAGTAATGGGAGGGATTAAGAGACGGATGAAAGCTCTATGTATAGACGGGACTGCTGATGAGGATTATTAAAGGAGAAGCCTTGTTATAAGCACACCCGGCAATGTGATAGGCAGGGCCGGATTTCCCACAAGGCCAACCAAGGCCGGCCTTAGGGCAGCAGGGAGTAGAGGGGCAGCAGGGGTGTGGAATTCCTATCTCCTGATGCCCGGGACATGCAGTTCTGGGCGCAGGGTGGGAAGTTGTTTTCTACAATTAGCCCTGCTTTGGGCAAGCATAGCTAAATGTACAACTGGGAAGCCGACGCTCGTTTTGTACAAGTGATCCCGGTGATGTTGCCGAAATCACTTGTATGCAGCCTGCAGGTCTGCCATTCTCCATGGGGGAAATCCGGCCCTGGTGATATAGTTTGCCCCGACCCTGTAGCTTCAACTGGACAGCTTGGCCTTCTAAAAGAAATGGGACAAATAACAGATCAACTGGTAATAAAATATATATCTGGGTGAAATATGGAAGTTCCCATTGCTGACATCTCCTCTGAAAATGCCACTAGCCTGGCTCTTGTGCTGATCTAATGGCTTCAGTGCTCTCTGAGTTCCGAGTCAATGACAGCCAGGCAGACAGAAGGAGGTCAGCAATGGCGGCTTAGAGATGTACCGTTGCACGGGCTTCCTTTAACAAAGCTGTGCAATCAACTATTTCAGCATATTGCCATCGGAACAGTTTGAAGGCTTCTGATTGGCTGCCGTGGCTTCGTACGCTCTGCACTTTGTCGTTGCATGTTACCCTGCTTTAAAAGCGTATCCGATTACTAACCCAAGAACACAAAGTATAACATGTTGCAGTCTTTTGATTTGGTGGCTGCATTCATTTCCTTTTTTGCTGCTAGCAACATACTGTACTGGATGGTCAATGCCCACTGATGGTACTGTACCTATGGAAGGTTGTCACCCTAGGACAGGAAGTGTGGGGCTACTAAACACCTCCCCTTCCCAGCTAAATCTGCTGCAGACTTGCTAAAGGTGCCTGGTCCAGGTAGCATTGAAGCCACAGGATGAGTATGGCAGCAAGCAAGAAAGAGAGGTCGGCAAATGGCAGCCCCCTGATTCTCCCAGCGCACATTTCCTTTACAATAAGCGCTTAGCAGAGGTTCCATAGCTCACTGTGGTGAATGGAGGTGGCATGCGGCCCTGCAGATCCATGCAGCTCGCAGCGTGCCATCCTTCACCACTGAAATCTATAGTCTGGCATCGCTGAGGGTGCCACACTAATGATATTTGTTCAGTTCAGGCGCCCCGAGCGCTTTGTAACTTTCCTTCCTGGGTGTCTCTATATAAATCCTCTGCCAGTGCCAGGGACTCAGCATTAGTAGGTCAGGTAGAAGTGGGTCAGATTCCTGTCCAGCTGGCAGGGGGCCCGGGATACGGAGCCAGAAGTGGGCAACGCCCACAATAGACAAAGGAGAGCGGAGAGAGAAAGGGGAGACGTTCAGGAGGGAGGCGGGCGGGCGGGATCCTGTCATGGAAATGTTCCAGAGGGATTAATCCACATACACAAAGATGAAATCTGGAGGAATTATTAGAGAGCATCTAGACAGACATGGGCAGGGAGACGAGGCTGTCAATCACAGCCGACCATCACAAATGCCCATCACAGCTACCAATCACAGCCACCCATCACAACTGCCAATCACAGCCACCCATCACAACTGCCAATCACAGCTGCCCATCACAGCTGCCCATCACAACTGCCAATCACAACTGCCAATCACAACTGCCAATCACAACTGCCAATCACAGCCACCCATCACAGCTGCCAATCGCAGCCACCCATCACAACTGCCAATCACAGCTGCCAATCACAGCCACCCATCACAACTGCCAATCACAGCTGCCCATCACAACTGCCAATAACACCCACCCATCACAACTGCCAATCACAGCTGCCCATCACAGCCACCCATCACAACTGCCAATCACAGTTGCCCATCAGAGCCACCCATCACAGCTATCCATCACACCTGCCCATCACAGCCCCTATCACAGCACCCATCACAACTGCCAATCATAGCTGCCAATGACAGCGACCCATCACAGCTGCCAATGACAGCGACCCATCAAAGCTGCCAATCACAGCGACCCATCACAGCTGTCAATCACAATTGCCCATCACAGCTGCCAATCACAATTGCCCATCACAGCTGCCTGTACACCTCACCACACACAACTCTAACACACACCTTACAACCTGGTTGCACAGTCTTTGTACAATCATCTTCAGAACTGTAGTGCAAGGCCAGCCTTACTCTGGTAGAAACATCTGGTCAGAACATTCGATGATGTCATCAGAGACGGATGTGGGTGGAAATGTCGTTTGGTGCTGACAATCGATTCTGGAAATGAATGGAGTTTCCTGAACACAAACCACATTCACTGTTAGAATTCCGTTCGTATGAGAAAAAATTTCCATCCGGCTCCTTCCATTTTTTTCCCATCACTGCGGTCGGAATCAATCATCAATTTTCCCCCCAATAACTATCAGGAAAATGAATAAACCATCCGAAAATGAATGTTTTTGAATGAAAGTCTCCTACTGGTGAATGGCGCACACCATCCATTATTGTTTCCTCTCACTGGGGGGCTCAAACTATGTATTGCACTTGTATCCAATATACAGGTATTGGTGGAGCTAAAGGAGGTTGTACAATCAGAATGCAATGTGAGTGGTCACCATAACGTAGATCTGAACCCAATCACTAACATTCGGACAGGTCAGATCTTTGGACAATGTTTTATTGCTGCCTATGTCCATTTATCTCAGTGACAACCCCCCCAAACCCCTTGTTCAGACATCACTGGGACAGGAAGTGAGGGGAAATCTCTCTAAGACCTTATTCACACAGCTAAGAGTCGGGGCCGTACAGATCTGTGCGGCATGCACGGCCGTATCGGGCAGGACAGGTGCTGCGTGTGATTGTACGCAGCAGCCTGTTTTTCCCCATGGTAGGGCACGGCCACATGACACCGTACACCCACCCGAGCTGCACATCCATGTGTGTGTCCATGCTCAGACTCACAGATCCATCCTGTCTGCATACGAGCATGAACACCCACACGGATGTGCAGCTCAGGTGAGCGTACGGCCGCGTCCTCCAATAGAGAAGAACAGGCTGCTGCGTACAATCACGCGCAGCACCTGTTCTTCCCGGGAGCGGCCCGATACGGCCATGCACGCCGCACGGATCTGTACGGGCCGGCTCTTAGCAGTGTGAATGAGGCTTTCAGGGGTCACAGACAAATGTTAATGCTACCCAAAAAATAACCCTAGAAAATGTCTGGAGTTGCACTTTAATAAGAGGTTACAGATACATCACAGAGCACTATGGATTTCTAAAGACAGTGCAGAGCAGAAGGCGATTGCCTTTAGACTCCCTCTCTCTAACTGAAACTCTGCGCAGCCTATCAGGACTGAGGGGTCACTACTTTGACCATTCAGGTGAGTGGGTATATTTGAGCTTGAGTTACTGAGCTCTGTACACAACTGGCATTCACAGTAAACACATAAAAGAGCCTGTAGCTTCGCTTTTCCTACAGCATGGGTCCGCAACTCTGACCCAATCAACTCTGACCCTCCAGCTGTTGTGGAACTACAAGTCCCATGAGGCATTGCAAGACTGACAGGCACAGGCTGACGGTGCCCCAAGATAGGAAACATACTCATCAGTGCCATCTAGGGGCAATCTTCCCAACAGGGACAGAGAGAGCAATAAAAACATAAAAGAGAGTATAATCCAGTGTGACACTTTGCCTCTGTGTGGGAACTTCCTGTAATAAAGACCGCTCACTGCTGCTCTCTCTCCTTGTGCAGGGTGACTGGTCTTGTCTCCGCCCCCTCCTGTAATTAAGACCGGTCACTGCTGCTCTCTCTCCTCGTGCAGGGTGACTGATCTTGTCTCCGCCCCTCCGTTAGTTTTCTGTAGTGGGCGGGGCCTTCTAGGTCCCTCCCACAGCTCTGCTCTCTGCAGAGCACAGTAATGATGTCAGCACTACTTTCACAAGGCAATAACTGGATTCGCAAAAATATTTGAGGCGTAAAAAGTGAATTTATATCCTTACTGGTTAAAAAAGAATATAGATACATAATAGTTTTTGTCCCCGGAGTCCACCAGCCAGAAGGATTAATACCATGTCATGGGTATCCTTTCTCGCCGGGAAACAGCCCAGCTCCAGACACTGACGCGATTCATCCTGTAATCCTGCTGACCCGACGAATAAGCCACTTACAGGGTGAAATGCGCCGGTCTAGAGATGGACTAAAGCGCCAAGCAGAAGAGCAGATTGTGCGGCTTTGTTCTTGTCTTGGACCTAGCGGGCCACCGTAGCAAGATTACCGGCGAGATGTATGTGGATGGGTCCCATGTAGAAGGCTCTACGGTATATGTCAGCTCCATACAAACACTGGAAGGGAAACAACAACCAGTACAAATATGTCTCTGTCTTCCCTCCACTTAACCTACTTTCTCTGCAGTACGTCTCCTGCCCCCTCCACAGGCCAGTTATGTAACCGTGTTACACAATCCGTCCCTCCAGGCGGCACAGCGAGTACACGGCGAGATCATCACAGACAAGAACACCACCGAGTGTCAACAAGCAGGAGAAGAGACGCTGAGGAGGATTCCTGAGGAGATCAAATAGAAAACACTGAAAATGTCCAACTATACAAACCCTAATTAACAAGAAGATCCTGACACTAGCGCTAAAGCTGGCCACCCACAT